TAAATTTTTTTTTCTTTACGAACTGGAGACGTTGTTGTAGGTTTTATACTTTGGCAAAAGTTTTCTTCATCGTTTTTGCCTTAAGTTTTATTTTGTCGCGTACTATGGTTTTCAAATTATGTTGATGGATGAAATTCATTTAAAAAACAGTGATGCATAAAAAATAGTGTTTATCAATTCATCGTCATTTAATAAATTTAAAAAATTTGAACATTTATTAAAATTGTGTAGAATTAAGGAAGTATTAAAAATTTTATTTATCAATTAAAAAACTGTTGCAATCAAAAACTTAAAATCTGTTTTATTAATAGAAATAACATTTTTTTAATAAACGAGTTTGAGTTGTTAGTAATAATGTTGTATGACGTAAAAATAATTTGTTGAAAAAATTGTTGGTCAACTACTTTTAGTTAGCATATTGTGTTAGAAAAAAAAAAAAAAAAAAAAGGTTTATGATGAATTTTAGATAAGTCGTATTTTAAAATAGCATTGGTTTTATTAATGCACATGGTAAAAATGATCGTAAAACTGAAGGATTGTATCATGATGTTGCAAAAAATAATTGTTATTCGGCAAGAATATAATGTACGACGCAGATGTGAATACAGATAGGCTTTTTATTATAAAAATGAATTAATGGTAGAATTGTTTCACGGTGCAGCTGCAACAATTTTTCAGACTTAGTACAGAAAATTCGTAGACTTTTTTTGTAGTATATGTCACGCATCCAATAATTTATTGACAAAAAAAAGTTGAAAAAAACTAACGTAGTTAGATACTGTTGTAATTATAGCTTTTATTTAGATAACTAGGAACAGGCTGCAGTTTATAATTGGCAGAAAAATAATAAAACACTGCAATTTATTGTCGTTCTTTATCTTCTTCAAATTTATTCAATTATAAATCAGTAAATGACGACATGGTAACAATAAATAAGTGGTAACATAAAAAATCAATAAATTTTTGCCATCAATAGTTAGTAAATATTTTAAATTAACATCATATTTATTTAATACCCAAAGATTTTTCGTTATTACAGTGGAAAAAGTACTGTTATTAACATTTGAAGTAAAAAAATCATAATAATAGTGATAGCATTTTATCTTACGTGAAAAAATTAAATTTTGTACTAAAAAACATAATAAAGTACATTGATAAATTAAATCTTATAGTAATAGAACAATGTGTTTTACTGCAGTTCTTTTGTGGATACAGTGGGTCATTCCACGTCAAATCGACCAATAGTTGGACTCGACCCCTTTCGATTTGGATAAATTTTGGTCAGAAGTTTTCTTTTATCCTATAACGAAGTTCTGCCAAAGGAAAAAAATTAAAAAAATTTTTTTCAAAAGTTATGCAAAATCAAAAATTTCACTATTTTCCATATTTTTTAAATTTATGTTTCAAAAATCTCGAAAACTAAAATAATCTAAAAAATCGCTTATGGTAAACTTCAAAGGGGACACTTGGGGCTATTAAAAAAAAAAAATTTCCAAAAAAAAAATTTTGAAAAATCTCCAATTTGTGAAATTTTGAATTTTTGAAAATTGTCAAAATTGACCGTCGACAATAAATTTTCTTATAAACTCCGCCGTCCATCTTACGGCATCAAACAAATTTTATTTTGTTGTAGATATCTGTATTTTTTAACCGGAAATCCTTTCCTTCCTCAGATGAGGATGAGGTTTTTACTCTCATCACATCACTTGAAATGGGAATAGCGGCATGACAATTTCGGATTCCTTGTACTGGCAGAGCATTTTTAAATCTCTGGTTAAGTTTTTTTTGAGTACGTTGAATCTGCTCATTTGAAACAAAGTCACAATTGATTCCGTGAACATTTTCTTTTGCCCATTTGAATAGCTCATCAGGTGTTTGAATTTGGTCGTCAGCTTTAGATTGGAGGTTGGCTCTGTCAACCTTCCGTTTTAATGTTCCGCCTAAATCATCACTTGGACCTTTTCCATGTGAAGTTGCAAAATAATGCCATTCCGCTGGTATTTGACAATCTTCCTCATGATTCAGCAAGTTCAGCAAATTGTACCGATTTTTATATTGAGATGCTGCACCATCCGAAAAATAAATTATTTTAGAAATGGCTGGGCTTTTATTTTTCAGAAACGATGTCAGTACTTCCTGGAAACTATAAACTGCTGTTGTATTATGCGTCAAGTTGTCTGAAATGATTATCAAATTTAGAGGTACTATATTGTCGACATTTTCATCAATGGATCTATAATAGCAAGCAAATGGATGGATTGTCGCTTGACTATTATTCCAATAAGCTCTTTGGATACTGTTTTGAAGTAAAAATGAGTAATTTTCTGAGAAGTCAGCAACAACAAGTACTTGTCCAACTTTGAGATTCTTTTTCGTAGTTTGAAAAAATTCAGCCTGTTGACGAGCAATAAAATCATGCTGAAGGAATTTTGGAATAGATTCTACCAAATTATCAACGAAATCATCAGTTGATTTCACGATCGTTTCCAAAGAACATCGATCTACTTGAGTCCATTGTTTATACGTTATTTCATCTACAAAGTTATCATTGAAAATATTTTCGATCGTTCTTCTTAATTTTGTCGAGCCAGGACAGTTACTACAGGTTCCCAAATAGCAGTCACTCGTAGGCCGAGGACAAATAACCATTTTCAAGCAATCTCGATATGAAGAAAACGGTTGACTTTCATTGCTACATTTTAATTTGTCAAGTTTTGCACCATGAAATGATAGTTTAAAATTTTCGTGAATGAGACAGACATAAACTACGTGAGTGCCAGATGAACCTGGTAGAACACATTCAGGGGGTCTCAGACTAGCAAGTTTTTAAAAACTGACTTTTTCAAATGGGTATTTCTGCTTGAGCAATTGATAAATTTCATTTAAATTACCCAAAATCAGCCGTTTTTGTTTTGGAACCCGTTGACCATTCTCATGAACAGATTTAAATTCTTTTTTACCTGGTAACTCTCTACTTACATCTTGATTTCGATAAAATTGTTGAATTTTCTCTTCAGTAGTTTTTAATAATGAATGACCTTTGTTTCTTTGTGGAGTGAATAGAATGCCATCTTCACTGACTTTTTGTTTTACTTTTTTCACCATGTATGTAGATGCTTCTAAAACATCAACAATTTTTTCTGTTGGTCAACTTAAAGGCAAAACAGATAAAATCTGTGATTTTTCACTCACTTTGCTGCAGTTATTAAATTTTTCTTTTAGCTGATTTATTATTTCTTTTCCGGTTAATTCAGGAGTATCGTCAATGTTCAATTGTTTATTTTTAATTGTATGTTTTTGATCGATCTAAATCTTTTTTTTTACAGGAGATAAATTAAAAGTTTTGGCAATAGAATTAAGGCGATCTAGATGTATTTTAGTAGGTGTAAAAGTTTCACCGGTTGAGCTGCACATTTCAGATGTTGAAGTTGTCACATTTGACAACTGCAAGTTCTCAGATAAATTAGAGGACATTTTTTCGTCCACCAGGCTTTGAATTGACACTCTCAACTAGTTGACTTTCTTCGACATTCACAGTTTTTTCAAATATTTCAACTTCATTTTGATGTTCTGGTAATTCACTATAGACTCTTTTAGTACACGAAATGCATAGTTTACTTCCCGGTATAATGGAAGGTAACCTAATCTTACACTGTTCGAACAATTTTAAACTGACTGGTTTCAAAGATTTACGAACTATACTGTCATGAAGTTTAAAGGGATCAGCACAAGATTTTTGATTTGAAGTATATTTGATACGATACTGTTTGTCATGTTGAAAGCAAATAAAACTAACGTCTTTACCACTTCTAGAATTCAGAGTAATCTGATCTTCGTCAGAAAAATCTTTGTAATTAATAAATTTTTCTTCAGAGCATATTTCATTTTTAAATAATCCAATCGAACACTTTTCATTTTCTATCACTGATCTCTTATTTTTTCTGCACTCAAAATTTTAACTAGATAATATCCTTAAATTAAACACTTGATAAGATAATTGTTATAAGTTTAGAATTTGAAGAAAGAGTTATTTCTAGACACTTACTTAGAATGATGACTGTCTTCGAAATAAAAATCAGAAAGGTTAACTTTATCTTACACGTAAAGATTCAAACGTCACGCGACAGATGTCACCACTTCTTCTACTTTAACATCAAATGATAATACAGGTGTCAGTATCATTTTTTTTACGAGTTTTATTTTGAAAATGATCCCAAAAAATGTCATTAATGTTTTTTTTCTCATCATTATGCTACTAAATGAAATTTCAACTGTTCAATATATCAAAATTACGCGATTTGCCAAACTGAATAAAAAAAAAAAAATTTAAGAAAAAATTTTTTTTTAACAAATTTCAAAAATTCATATATTTGAAAAAACAAAAAATACAGTTCCAAAAATTTTAGGATCTTTTAAGATTGGTACAAGGTAGTACACAAAAAAATTTGAGCCAAAAATTTATTGTCGACGGTCAATTTTGACAATTTTCAAAAATTCAAAATTTCACAAATTGGAGATTTTTCAAAATTTTTTTTTGGAAATTTTTTTTTTTTAATAGCCCCAAGTGTCCCCTTTGAAGTTTACCATAAGCGATTTTTTTAATTGCAATAGTTTTCGAGATTTTTGAAACATAAATTTAAAAAATATGGAAAATAGTGAAATTTTGGATTTTGCATAACTTTTGAAAAAAATTTTTTTAATTTTTTTCCTTTGGCAGAACTTCGTTATAGGATAAAAGAAAACTTCTGACCAAAATTTATCCAAATCGAAAGGGGTCGAGTCCAACTATTGGTCGATTTGACGTGGAATGACCCAGTATAAACAGCTGCATCATGTGCATGTTATATGTGTTGAAGATATACTTGTAAATATGCTATTTATTTTATTTAATTTTTTAAGTTCAGAGATTCACTTCAGCTCAGTTTCTTCTTTAAACTAATTTAGTTAAAAATCAGTATATTACAATTTTTTTAGTTTATTATTATTATTATTATTATAAATTAAAACGATATTCCTGAGCATGTATTGTTAACATCAACAATTTCTTGCTTATTGACGTATTTCGCTATTTCATCTTTAAGATATATTAAGTCATTGGTTGGTAAATATTTTTGTCGAGACCAAATCATCCCAAATGAGTTTCTGTACATTGGAGACTTAGGTCCCGTACAAACTATCATCGCGCAGAACTGTGTGTAATTCACCACCAACATTTTGTGAAGAAATGGACCTGTTAAATGAATATTTTAATCAATTAAGTGAACACTAAGGAAAAAATGAACTTAATTCAAGAGCAAAATTTTTTAATCACGTAAATTTGACTTAAACCCAGAAAAATTTCTTAACTCACGAACTTTTCGATTTATTTCAAGACTATAAAACTTGTAATAATAATTTTGGTGATTCAAATGAAATCATGATGCGTATTATATGCTTATACTAATCCGTAATTACTCAAATATAAATAACAATAAATATTAATCCGATTATAATTATATCGTTAGAAATACCAATATAATATTATAATATTTTACTAATAAATTCTTGACATCTATTATAAAAATTTACACATTAAAAATTGTTGTGTCATTGCATCAAAAATTTTTGCGTTAAATGTTTAACATTTTTTTGTATTGATTTGAGAGAATTAACATAAAAAAGTGTTAAATTTACCCATAAAAGTGGTAATTTTTTAACACATATATTTTAAACACAAAATTTCTTCACGCAATGATGCAAAATTTCTTACTGTGTTGAATTTATATGTATTATGTTAAAAAACTACTATTTCGACTATCTATCCTTATCTGCATTAAAACATGCAATATTATAGAAACCTATAATGGAATTATATTACCTAGTACTCTAGGTGATCCATTAAGTTGCCATGTCGCAATGGTTTCATTTTCTGATTGTTTACCATTAATCCTCCATAAAAGCCGTCCATTGCTTATCGGACTAGTAGTAGTGAAATTCATCGCAAATGAATCAGTTCCGTTCATTACGACGTTGAAATGTAAACACTTTCCGACTTTATCCCTTACAGGTGAAGCAGCTACTACATACCATTCTCCAACCATCTAGCAAGAAAAATGATCACTGTTATCATTTGTTATATATGCCCGAGTTAAAAAAATTAATTTAAATGAGTTTAACTGCTATACCAAAACAATTGATTCAAGCTCATCTAAGTTCATTTTTTTGACTTGGGTGAATTTATCAGGATAATTTATGTATTCACCTTATTATAATCAACTACTTTGTCATCGCCGGAAAGAGGACATTTACATGAGCACAAGTATAAAGATAACAAAATTATCCACAATGAAGAACGCGGAATAATATTTTCAATCATTTTGTAAAAAGTTTGAGAGATTCTTATACAACTTTAATAAAATAATATCAAGTCTGCATGTTCCGAGAGTGTTACAGATACACTCTTTACACTAAAACCATGCTGGGATGACTAACATTTAATAACTTCACTTGTCTAATCGCAGAGGAGATACGTGGGTTTTTGTGTCAGTAAATAGTTAAAAATCTCTGTGTTTAAAACTATCGTCACTGTGTTCACGATTATTTTATTTTTATATGTATATTTATAATTTATAATAGTAAATAACATGTATTTTATAATCTACAGCTACAGGCATTACACAGCGTATTACAACTCCGGCAATACTGAACAAAATTTATAGCGACTGTATAGAAATAAGGTGCACACGCGAGCGCACGTCTAAATGTACAATTATATATATTTTTATAATTATGCTTATGATATATTTATGTATCGTTTATATATATTATAAGCAGTTTCGCCCAATCACGTTTCAAATAAATTGCCTTCACATATGTTTTTTTTCATTTTTACGCGCTTCATTGACCTGTATTCCTCTATCTATTTATATATATATATATATATATATATATATATACTTTTTTTACGATATCGATTTTCAATGACACTGAAAAATTTTTTAATTACACTAAAAAAAAAAAGACGCCATTCGGCCATACCCGAAATGGAAGGTAGATTTCATAGAATGAATTATCGTCTTGTCTCAATAACTTTCGTTTGACATGGATAGGTTGTATTACACATTGCCTGAAAATGGTTCAATTGAACTCTTAACTCCGATAAAATAACTAATAATGGTCAAAAAGTTAACATTATATACGTCAAATAAGAAGTGTTTTTATGAGTTTTCGAGTAAATTTATTAAAAATGAGCTATCTTTTTGCTATTAAAAGTTATACATAAATGAAGTCACCGAAAACGTAATTTCTCCTATTTTGATCATTTTGAAGAGCTACTATTTCTGAACTAATCGAAGGATTTCGCTCATTTTAAGGCTCATGCAAGCTAATTGTCAAATGAATTTGTATACTTAATTTCATTGGGATCTGTTATGAATTCTCGACAGAATAACATTCATAAGTCGGCTGCACTACACATTGCCTGAAAATGGTTCAATAGAACTCTTAAATTTGCGATAAAATAACTAAAAATGGTCAAAATGTCAATGTTATATACGTCAAATTGAAGGCAATTTCATGAGCTTTTACATGAATTCATTGAAAATTAGCTATCTCTTTTCAACCAAAAGTTATACATCAATGAAGTCACCAAAAACGTGATTTTCACTATTTTGATAATTTTGAAGAGCTGCCATTTCTAAACTTATCGATGGATTTCGCTCATCTTCGAACTCATTCAAGGTTATTATCCAAAGAATATATGTAATTAAGAAAATGTTTTTTTGGAATGACTTTGACTTGAAATTGTTCTTTTTTAAGATTTTATATGGACTTTAGCGATAGTTAATAGTTCATTTATTATGATAAGTTTTTGGAGTAGTTCTAAATAGATCTGAATTTAATGTTAGGTATAATTTGTTAGCATATTTTTTTATTATGTTCATGTTAATCTGATTATATTTGAAATATTAATCTATATAAATAAAAGATCAAAAATTTTGTAATCTTTCATAATGATTTATTATTCTTTATTATCTTAATTATAAAATGAGTTTCTATGGTCAAAATTGGTACGATCAGAAAAGTTATATAGTGTAACCTCAATATAACGAACCTCAATATAGCGAATTTCTCGATTTAACGAATTTTTCAAAATCCCCTAGAACTGCCCATAAGAGTCTATGTAAAATATACCTTTATATTACGAATATATTTTTCTAACAACCTCACTATAACGAAAGTTTAATTTTTGCAAAATATAGATAGAAATTATTATTGACCTTTATATAACGATTTTCCAGCCTATAACCTCTACATAACGTATTCTACAAATTATCCTCTCTTAATTCCACAATAACTAATGTCTTAACGAGTGCTGACACGTTCAATTCTTCATAAATCAGTCATTGCTGTTTGATCACTGTCGAAGAGGAAGAAGAGAATAAAATAAATCAAAATGATTTTACGATAACAGATGCACGCAACGCTCTGGATGTAATTAAATATGTATTTTTCAAAAAAAGTGGTTTATTTGACGGTGTAGTTAAATCCATTACGGAGTTCGATTGTGCTTTGGATATAATTACTAACACTTTTTTTCGAGTAAAAAAACGAAAAACGAAGATTAAGCTAATACCATTATTCTTCAATCACGTTATATTCTCTTTAATACATTCTATGTTTATTTTGTCTATTTTGTTCATTCTATGTCTATTTTGACCTTAAATTGATTTAAATATTTTCAAATAAATAATTCTATGTTTTGATTTCAAGGTTGCACTGTAAACTGATTTTGTGACATTTCACAATTTTATATTTATTTTTTGGTAACAGATAACATTTTACGTTTACTTATAGCGGCACTTTTGAATAGTTCGTTGATTTTATAAGTTTTTTCCGGGACATTTTTTACAAAATCATCAGCACTTTTTCTTGTAGTAACAGTATTATTTTTTTAATTTATTTCAAAAGTACCTAAACTATTTATTTTATGATCAAAAATATCGAAAATCCATTAAACTAAAGTTTTTTAATCCATAATTTGTAATTCTCGACAGTCACATAGAGACTGCTGGTTGATTTTTTTGTCCATGCTGTTTTATTAAACTAATAAATAGACGCTTTATTAAATTTTATAGTAAAATAATATACGATCAGTTATTAAAACAAGATTTATGGTTTAATAATAACATCTTAGAATACTGTCTTAATTAAAGTAATAACTCTCTCGACATTAAGATACAGGTATTAGATAAATCCGTTGTTAGATTGGACCTTCGTAAATAGATTCGGTTGGCCATACGATGTTTTGTTACTTGAAATTGTCTTGAGATATTTTATGTTATAGAAAGCTATTATTGAGTTGATTTTCCATTTAAAATTTATAAATAATAACAATATCAAAAAATGATAGTGAGTAGTTTTTATTTATAGTTAAATTGTTTCGAAGATAGTGATAGTGGTCGAGTTGCGTGTAATTTTCAACTAAAGCATTTTACTCAATTACAACCTTCTCGTTCTTAGTTGGTCCCTAACCCTTATTACCGCCATTAGCGTCCAAACTAAAGTGAATTAATCAAGGGTCAGAGTAACTATGAATGTAGTGACGCTCGTTATATCTATATCTCTAGTTTCTGGAAGCTCCAATTTATTATCGGAAATTTCTTAGATTCATCAGAACTTGCGGCTTTCAGGAAATTTAATATCTTGGACGGACAATACCATGGTTGAGAGTGATAATAACGGTTCATCTTCATTATTGATAAATAATTAGTGATTAAAGTTCAATGGTGACGTTCAAAGACTTTGAAAGTACAATAACCCGTGAAAAAATTTTCCAATACGGCCTTGTCTGGTCGTGTACGGCTGTATCTAGCTGATGTATGTGAGAATTATAAAAAAATGTATCATAGATTTTCAATTTTTAATTTCTTTGATAAATGTATGAGGATGTTTCAGAAGAGTGGAAAATAAATAAAATTTATTTTAGAATTTGATACCTCAAACTTAAAACTCTTGTAAAGAGACGATTCAGTGATTTTGCGCCATCTGTCGGAGATTTTTAACTCTAACTTTAATTAAAAAATTATACGTGGGTATAAATGACCACACACACTGTAAAAAATCGGAAGTGAATTTTCAGTTCCATCATTCAGAGTACCGAAGTGAAGAAATAAACCACTTCGCATGTACACGGAAAGAAAATTATGGGAACTATTCCTATACTATTATAGAAACTATTCCTATATCATTATGGGAACCATTCCCATAAATTATGGAAACCATTCTCATAATAGTATAGGAATGGTTCCCACGATATATAGGTTTAAATCCTACAGGAAAAAAAAAATTAACATGACTTGAATTTGTGCCTTTTCAAGGTTTCACATCATTCTCATCGATAGTCAATTTATGATGATAAGTATTTAGGTTGCATTCGAAAATACTCTATCTCTAGATATATAATTGAGAAATGACCTTGTATCTTGTGAACTATTGACATTTTTAAGGAAATAAGCTCATCCCGATGTTACGCTCATCGAGACCTTTCATTTGAGTACCCACATCAATTTTTCATATATTTTATATATTTATATATATTATATATATGTAAATATGAAAAATATATCAAAAATGCATGTGGGTACTCAAATGAAAGCTCTTGATGAGTATAACATCAGGATGAGCTTATATCTTTAAAAATGTCAATAATTAAGAAATGACCTTGTATCTTGTGAACTATTGACATTTTTAAGGATATAAGCTCATCTCGATGTTACGCTCATCGAGGCCTTTCATTTGAGTACCCACATCAATTTTTCATATATTTATATATATTATATATATTAGGGTGGCACAAAAAAAACCGACTATTTTTTTTTTTGAGTCTCGAGTCAAAAAATGTTAGTTTTTGATGTTTTAAGAACCCTCACCAAAGGACAGCTCAAAAAAAAATTTTTAAGAGGTCACTCCAAATTTTTCAAAATTTCAAAAATCGTCAAAAATCGAATTTTTTTTTTTTAATTTTTTTTCTCGT